ATATTATATATTCCCTCCTTCCACCAAAAACTAAAAAGAAAAAAAAAAAGAAAAAGAAATGAATTGGACACCTTTTAAAATATAGTCCCATATACATACAGTTTCTTTCGCCTTTATACATACATATATTTAATCAGAGAGAGCACGAATATATACCACGATTGATTAGTTTTAAAGAGCTTGTTAAAAGCAAAAAAAAAAACCAAAACGAAGAAAATAATAAAAAACAAATAAAATAAAAATCTAATTTATAAAGAGCAACGAATACTGAGGCTGATTTTATCGATCGATATTCGATATAAAGAATTAAAAGGATTAAAAAGTTAGATTAAAAGCACACTTCAATCTGATTCCGCTTCGTTCTTTGAAAAAAAAAAAAAAAAACCCAACGATTTAAATGAAGAAAAAGAAATGAAATAAAATAACGAAAATCTATATAAATAAAAATAGATTAAAAGCGGGAATTGGAAGAAGGTATTGACGGAAAGATAATAAATAATTAACACAATGATTAAAATTTACGAGAACAAAAAAAAAAAAAGAAAAGAAAAAGAAGACATTAATTTTTCGAAGGAACACTTAAACGAAGTGTCTGATTGGATGAACGAGGAGCTCGTAGTACGAAGAAGAAATGAAGTAACCGTCACGGGATTGGTCGATCGCGACGCGTCTCTTCTTGCCCGCCATAATTTTGTTTAGTTTATTTTCATTTAATTTGTATTATTAATATATTACTTTTCCCCTCCCCCTCGTTTTCTTTCTTTCTGTTTTAATTTGTTGTTGTTGTTGTTGTCATATGCGTGTATTATCTTTTTTTTTTGTCCTATAAAGAGCTGCCACATGTTCCGCCGTTTTTTATTTTCATCATTATCATCATCATTTTCTTCATCATTCATCATCATCATCATCATTATCGAGCATTACGGCTAGATCATTCAAATAATCGTCCAGCTACGATCGTCTTGATATCGATTCGATTCGATCGTGCGTGTCTTTCTATTCCCTGGCTTGAAATCGCGACATTCTACCAGAATATTCTTCGTGGTAGAAAAATTATCCGGTAACGAAGCCAGACGGCCTACGTCTCTTCAAGCATAAAATTCTCGATTGTGATGGGGTGCGCCCGGTTTAGGAAAGGCCTGGGCCGCTGGTGATCTTCTTGGTTCGTCCAATGCGTACGAACCTTCATCTTTTTTGCGCATCCTATATACGATGAACATCACCACGAGTATGGCACAAAGTAGGCCGACTACAGCACCACCGATTACCGCTAAAAACGAAACAACTTTATTAATTTGTGCCTTTTTTTTTTTTTTTGGTTGCTTCTGAACACATAAATGCAAATAAACAATTGATATATAACATATATGTATTCATTATTTCCTTCTCATTAATCCTATCATAATTGTTTGGTGCAATGGATGCAATTTTTGTATGTAAAAATGTTACAATTAATTCTAACTAATATGAATGAACAAAATTGATGTTATACCCGCTAAAACGCCAGGCTGTGCAAAGAATGAACTGGCACGGTCCTCGTGTTTTGGATTCATTATGTAAACGACGTGGCTATCGTCAGTGTTATCCACGTGGTCGTCTTCACCAGTTGAGGGCTCGATTACATCGACTACCTCGTCCAGTCGGTTTATCGTATCGACGTTTGTCTAAAAAAAAAAAWAAAAAAAAAAAAAAGAAGGAAAATAATAAAACTAAAAATTATGAGACTTATTCAAATTCAAATATATACACATAAATATATTACGTATGCGTGGCATTTGCGCGCGTGCTTTCTTTTAAATAATTTATAATATACTTTACATATATATATATATGAAATAAAAAAATCAAAAGATTAAAAAATAAAATGTAATTCGTACTTGAACTTTATTGTTGTTGTTACTTTCATCAATGTATGGTTCCTTTGGTTCAATTGGTTTGTTTGGCACAGGTTCTATTCTGTTATTGTTAGAGTCGAATTCTATAGAAAAATAGGAAATAATTAATGATTATGAGAAATTATTATATGCACTCTCTCGATATAAATTATTTAATTGTTTTTGTGTTACCATGTTCGTCATCACCGTCTTCGTCGTCAGGGCCGAGTCCGCTACCAGATGCTTCAAGGTCGTCTCGTCCCTCGCTTCCACCTCGACCAGAACCTTCCGAGGCCTCTTGATCGTCCAGGTAAAGATCGTCTGGGAAGGAATTGTAATTCGAAGAACTTCCCAACGTCCTCTCCCCCTTCTCGTTCTGTTCCTTCTGCGAATAAAAATTCAAAAGAAATATATTATTTAAATATGATTTCTCTCTCTCTCTCTCTCTCTCTCTCTCTCTCTTTATAAATTAATACGAAAATGAATGGAACAAAACATTTGAACATTTTGCTTTAATGGATTTTCATTGGTTCGTGTATTGCGCTGCATGTACGATTGTCGACCAATCAAAACTTCATCGAATTCAATATTTGTCTCCCGGATGTGGATTGTTTTTTTAAATTAAATATTTTACAATGCATATATACGGTGGATGTATCTATATATATGTAGAATATATAACAATTACATGACTCGACTCTAATAAAAATTCAATAAAAATATCTTTTATAATTTAGATAAGTTATTATTGAAGTAACAGCTTAATTTATCTTACAATTAGATAAATATTACTCTTGGTTTATAATCAATTAGATATTTTTATTAGATATCGAGCTTTTTATTTGATATTATTTCCCCGATGTATCTCTCGTAGGCAGGTCGAAAAAGATGATGGTTGCTGTGAGTTCAGTTCAGGTCAAGAGATGATGAGAATATAGGAAGGAAAAAAAAAGAAGGGAGAAGTGAAGAGATTAAAAGAAGATAGAGAAGAGTCACCGTGGGTGGTTTGCTTTCCTCGTCCTTCTTTTTTCCCTTCTTTTTCTCTCCCTCATCCCTAGCCCTCTCTTACACATATACACACACGCACACACCTACGCACATACGATGCAACTCCCTAACACTTTCATTTCCAAAAATAGAAACGTTCCGTCACACAAGACGAGAACGAACACCACCATCTCAAAAAATTCTTCTTTTTCTTCTCTTACATCTCCTCCGAGTCGAAATTTAAAACTCAATTACGTCGTTCGAAATTTTCCTTTTGCTTTATCCATCGTCTCGTGTCAACACAAATTGATTATTAACGAAATACGATATTATTATATCGAGTCAGTCTCCTTTTATAATCTTCAAAAAAGAAAACAAAAAAGAAAACAAAAAAGAAAGAAAACCAACATGGAATGAAATATAAAATTGATTATCTCTGTATACACATTTCTTTTTCTTCTTCTTTATTATTATAATTTGAATACTAATGTACACAAAATTGTTTGGAAAATATATTCAAAATTGATCATACAAAACGTATATATAACACATTAAAAGTAACTAATAACATACTTTCTTTTTTCTCTCATCGAATCTAACGGGTCAATCACGTTTCGATTATCTACCACGAGGGTTGTTGTAACTTACAAGAAAATAAAAAAAAAACAAAAATGAAAATAGAGAGAAACGCGAAAAAAAAAGAAATAAAAAAAGAATTATATTACCAACTCGATTCGCAGTAACAACAGAAAAAAGAACAACAAAACCCCCCCCCCCAAAAAAAAGAGAAAGAAAACAAAACCGAATGAGAAAACATGAAAGAGTTAAAAATAAAAGAGAAAAAAAGAAAAAGGGTCATTTTCTGCGTGGATCGAAGTGGAACGATCATGCGTGCACAGGATTGTTGGATTGGGGATGTGCATCGAGAAAGGGTCGATCGATAAAACGAAATTCGTTTCGCAATTCATCCTGCATTAACCACCTTTTCCTTTAACGCCCCATTCGACCATTTTTATCATCAAACAACGAAATTTTTCGAATTCTATAATATTGTGTTATAAAAACTTATACATACATATATATATATATGTACTTCCGATAATCCCCAGGGGTTGTTTGTTTCTTATTAATCCTCAATTTTCTTTCATATAGTTGTAGTAAAATGGAAAAGAAAAAACAAAAAAAAAATAATAATAATAATAATAAAGAATTGTATTATTAAAAATAGGGACGGTAAAAAGTTTCTTTTTTTTTGGTCATCTTTTTAATATCTTCTTATGATGAAGAAAAAGAGAGAAAGATAGAAATGCGCGGGCGCATGATGTTATCGACCTTATCCTGAACACGCCTCTCTTCCTAGTGCACCACCCAAGATCATACACATTTATATAACATATATATACATATATAGAGAAGTAAAAGGATTCAAAATATTCCTATATTAATTTAATTAATATAATCCCCCCCACAGGAATTTTTTATTTTATTGTAATCATAAATTAATTTTATTTAAATGGACCCGCAAGAGGGAAAGAAAGAAAGAAAGAAAGAAAGAGAGAGAGAGAGAGAGAGAGAGAGAGAGAGAGAGAGAGAGAGAGAGAGAAACAAAAAAAAAAGAAATTCATATTTGTATATTTGTATTTGCGTATGTGTGAGAAAGAAAAAGATAAGGGTAGGGGAAAATTCATGCTGTTTTTTCTTGTAACAAACAAATCTATTTTCTTGCGCACGACAGGGGGATGTTTTTTTAAAAATAAAAATAAGTCAAAGATTTCTCGAAAATAAATAAATAAAAAAAGAAAAAGAACAAAAAAAGGAAGAAAGTAGAAGATAGAAATAACCCTTTTATACTTACAGGATATATTCTTATTTCGTGTCGTATAAGATTAAGATTAGCGATGTTTCGTTGAAGAAAAATGGCAAATTTCGAGGGTGGATGCGCTACGGTTTTAGGCCAGGTGGTGACTGCGTCACTCTAGTACGATCTCGAGCCAGCAGGCGGCACTGCGCGAATTTTCTCCCTTTCTCCCTCTCTCTCTCTCTCTCTCTCTCTCTCTCTCTCTCATTTCTACCCCTTCCATTATACTAACGTTTTTACAGGTAACTAGGTAATAAAATGAATAAGTTTCATCTAAATTACATTGGATATAATAAAAAAAAGAAAAAAGAGAAAGAAAATGAAAAAGAAAGGGAGAGAAAGAGAGAAAAGTGATAAAGAGGGAGAGAGAGAGAGAGAGAGAGAGAGAGAAAAAGGGAGGAATTGTAGACATTTTCTTAGTACTTTTCTTCGATCGATAAAAACGTTTCTGAAGTGGTTAACTCCTTTCGTAAAAAGGACATTTACACGAACGTAAATACGTACTACGTACGTACAAAATGAGTCCTTTTATAACGTCACTCTTCCAGCAATTAGACGTGAATTTGATTGGTCGTTTGACAAAAAGGAACATGAAAGTGGTTCGTTGAGTACGCAAGAGGGTGAATACGTGGAAACGCGGAAAGAGTGTGAACGCAAGAAGAAAGAAAGGAAGAAAGAAAGAAAGAAATAAAGAAAGAAAAAGAAAGGGAGAGAGAAAATCCACTCGTTTATTCTTTTCTTTACGCTCAACGATTCGTACACTTAACACCTTAAATACGATTTAGAAATGTTTGAGTATCTTTCCTCTCTCGGAAATATAAAAAAGGAAAAAAGAATCCCAAGAGATGAAAAAGGAAAAAAAGAAAAAGAAAGAAAGAAAACAAAAAAAGAAAAGAAAATTCTATTACTCGATCGGTAAATAAATAAAATAATAGGTAAAATTAATAGGTAATAATCGCTATCTTCTTTATCAATAGACGATAACCGATGATTTTTATCTTTGACAAAAATTTCGCTAGGATCTCTACCATCGTTTTATTTTCTGTTACTAGAATTTTGGTTCTTATTGAAGTTCTTTTTCTACAAAATTAAACTATTCATCCCTCGAATAGAGAAAGATCAGGTTTAGGAAGAGTTCGGGGAAAGACGATAAGGGTTTGAAAGAAGCCTAACATAGATCAAGAGTCCTCACGAATTACTGCGAATTACGAGCCCGGTAAAAGGGATTATGGCATACTACTGGTGGAAATAGTTTGGTGTTTCAACCTCGATGACGAGTCTAGGATAGTCTGACTACTATTTCTCTCTCTCTCTCTCTCTCGCTTTCTGTGGCTCTCAAGTTTCGTTGGGGGTTGGTGTACGAGGGGCCGTGAATCAATACAAGGGCCAACACACCACACCAACCCTGCCAGCCGGTCTACTGGAGTCTCCAGCAAGCAAGCAACTTCTCATCGTTCTTTCTCCTTCTATTCTTTCCACTTCTATACCTGTCTCTTTCTTTCTCTCTCTACTAACATTGCCCACTTCTGTTCTCCTTCACCAAGATGATACCCCAACCGTTTCGTAGATTCTTCTTTCTTTTCCTTCCTCTTTTTCCTAACCTCTCTTCTCTCATCTCTTTCTCCCTCTTTATAGTAGAAGATCGATCAGTTCTCTTCCTTCCCCCAAACCACATTAAAGTTCTCAACGTTCTCAACGTAAAGGCAGAAGTCGAGGTTGTAAGGGCGTTTCATAACTTATACTTCGACTTCCGTTTTATGATACTAGATCTTACTCCCTTTTCCTTGTCAACCATTTTGTTTCTAGTGGAAAAAAATGTTTCATTGGGACATACTTTATTGTGTACGTGTGTGTAGGATAGATACGTGTTCTAAAGTTTATAAAAGTAATACTTTTGATTAGTTTTATGTTATATCCTTTATATCATCCATTCCCATTTTCTTCTATGAGCTACCATTTTGTTTTAGGATTACAAAAAAATTATATCATATTAATATACATATTATTACTTTTATAATTGTTCCTAAACAATTTTTATTTCTCTATAGTATGAACCATCAGTTTTTCTATTAGAAAATCTTTCACCCTTAATTATCTTTAAATTAGAACAATTAATCGATAAAAAACATTGTAATGAGTTTGAACCCAACAGTTTCTAAGTACGTAGTATTATACGATTTGGGGGGAAACAAAAAATTATGCTCGAAGTGTCAAGAAAGTTTAATTGATTTTCAGAATGACCTAGGAACTTTTGGCTCAATCAACCACCCTGTGTATCAGAAGGGATTACTGAAGTGTCCACATACTCGGTCAAATCGGTAATTGAAGGATCATCCCGTTGAGATTATAAACTATCTGTCGTTTCTATACTCTCGTCGTCTATATGATCGAAGTATATCGGATTTCCAGTGGTGGTACACATTGATCGTGTTACATGTGCCTAGAAATGGGAGATGTTCTTTCGGTAGTACGCGAGTATGGTACACAGCATACACAGCATACATAGCATACATAGAGCATGCACAGATAGAGAAAGAGAG